TCTAGTTAACCAAAAGCGTTGGTGCTTATACAGGCCGCATGATTGCGGGACCGTTGTTGCTGCCTGCTGGCAGTATAGGCTCACAGCTGGTGGTGTATGTAGGCAAACAAAGGAAAAAGAAAAAGAAAAAGAAAAATCTCAGCACGGTTATTCGAAACTAATGGGTTACAGCCATGTGGTAATCACTATGATCCCTCTTTTGCGCCTGTCCTCATCGCAATTACGAGGCATGATTTGTCCCCCGCCAACGTGTCAGGCCAGGCCGGCCGGCCGGCGGGGCAAATCTAAAGCGTGGTCGCGACTGGTCCGGCGTGCGGCACTAGCTACACGCACCGGCGGCCGCAAATGGAAGCTCGCGACGCCGACGCGGCGCGTGGAGGCCTGGATGGACAGGCGTGCGTGCATGCCAGTTAAGGTGTGCCATCGTCGTCGAGACTCGAGAGAGATGGACAGAAGACGCGCACTGGCCGGGTCGATCGCCAACAAGGTTTTTAATATCGGTATCGCCAAAATTTCGGCCACCACCGAAATTACCGAATTTCGCGAAATTCGACTAAAATTTCGCCGATTTTTTTTAGAGATTAACACATGAAGTATGTTTTTTTTAAAAAAAAATAGATCTAAACAAATATTAGTATGATTTATGACTACATATCTATTAAATAGAAGAATATGCAATATAAACAATAGAAAAATATAAGATTAGAGTTATATAGCACATGTATTAGTGTATTAAAAAATTTCGGGGTTTTCTTTCGGCCACCACCGAAATTACCGAATTTCGTAAAATTCGGCCGAAATTTCGCCGAAATTTTGAACCCTTCGCCAACACTTTATTTCTTCGCGTCATCGCGTGCAAGGGGACACGTACGCGCCGGGGCTCGATCAAAACGTCGGCGGTCATGCATGCACTGCCGCCCGGCCGCGAAAACATGGACACGCATGGTGCGGCCCCGACGACGGAGCAGTAGCTGTCGTCGCGTGAGTAGATCCGGATCGGGACGTACGTACGCGTGATCGATCGCCTCCCCGGCGACGACTCGCCGTGCACGTAGCATCCCCGCGCGCACGCTCGCCGCTGAATCGTCATCCACCGATCGCAAGGCGGCACAGCTAGCTAGCTAGCGCCGAGCGACAGCGAGAGAGACCACCGTCATGCATGTCGCGTTGACACGGCTGATCTCTCAACTCAACGACGGGCGGCGCCCCACCACGGCAGCAGGGCCCAGCCATGCGCGGCCGACGTCCCTGGAGAAGTGGAGAGTTGCTCGATCGTTCGCCCCCCACGCCCCATTCTCGCGGCCCCCGGGTCCGGGTAGGCGGGTAGGGAAATATGGACACGGCAAAGCTACATGTAGCGTACGCACAAGCGGTTGCTCATGTCGCAATGGTGCAAATGCGTTCGCTTCTGCGCGTCCGCGTGCCCCAGCGAGGCCTTATTCGGTTCGGTCGTATGTCTTCAACGCAACGACTCCTGAAATGGATATACTACGCAGTGGCAGTGCATTAATCACTTCAATGTACTAGTACGTAGAGTATGGCCCTGGTTTAGTTACTCCAAACTTCTTAAAAGTGTACTATGTAAAAAAAGATTTTCCGTCACATTAAATTTGCAGTACATGCATGGAGTACTAAATGTAGACGAAATCAAAAACTAATTGCACAGTTTGCTTTAACTTTGCGAGACGAATCTTTTGAACCTAATTAATCAATGTTTAAATAATAATTCACAAATACAAACTAAATATTATAGTAGGGAATCTTTACTGTGCAAAGTTTGCCGACCCAACTAAACACCGCCATGATGTCTCAGCTGCTTAGTGCTTAGCAGCACACACTTGTGTGTACCAGTAGCACGTGAGGCGGACGTCACGGAGCTCATCGGATCCGGCCGCGCCGGTCCCGCTCCGCCGCCCCTCCCTCCGAGCAACGTTGTACACGGCAACGCAGCTCATTCTCCGGCCATCCTCCTCCGCAGTCCCCACCCGACGTCCCGACGCGACACGACAAATTATCCAGTCTGGTCCCCCGAGAATTTCACAGCGGCAGCAAGCGGGAACCCAGGATGGACACGCGGTGGGGCCGTGGGGAGGCGTGGGCTCGGAAATCGGAAGCATTTGCACGTTGGGGTGGTCAGCTCAGGTCAAACCCACTGCGCTGCACCCCTCTGCTCGCTCGTTCCGTCCTGGCCACTCGCATTAATGCCGCCACGAACAAGCCAAAACGCTCGATCGATCGCGTAGGCACTCATCTCATCACTTCATCAGGCAAGGCACCAACGCAGATCGGCAGGTTGCCTGCCCAACCACCCGCCGCCGCCCCCGATTTCACCGTTCGAACAAGCCGGCGGGGGCGCCGGGCGACACGCCAAGTCCTGGACACGCAGCCTGTTCGCTGGTCATAAACGATCGTAAATTTCCGTCCTGGGAACAGTGTTTTTCCTCTGACACCAAACCACCCGGCGAGAATAACCCACGATATACGATACGACCTCCCGAACAGGCTGATGAGCCGGAGCACGCGTTTTGGGGCTGTCTGTCACCGCGCGTGTACGTGTCGCGGGCGGGCAGAGGGAGTGTGCGCCGCATGCGCGGCTGCGGCCTGCCGCCTGCCGCCTGCTCGCGCGGGCCCGCCGATTATTTCTCGCGCACCTGGAAAGCGGAGAGCGCGAGAGACCCCTCCCGGCTGCCGCAGATCGCCAGTGACTGACCGCCCGCCCGCCCGCAGAGGCAGAGCGCAGGCGCCCAACCGGCATCCCGTCCTAGAGACGCAATCACGCAACGCAACGCAAGAATAAAAAGAGGACAGAGAGGAAACATCCGTCCCAGAGACGCAACGCAACGCGACGCAATCCGGCATCCGTCCTCTGAGAGAGTCCTTCCCGTCCCGTCCCAAGGAACGAACGAGTAAGCAAGAGAGACACACAGACAGGGAGGGAAACCGAGGGGCGTCCCCGAAACCAAATACTCCACTTGTGTACGCGCGAGTAAGCAAGAGAGACACACAGACAGGAGCGACGAGGGACGGTGAGCGCGCACTGGCCATGAGCCGGGGCCGCGCACGCCGGCCGCCGGTTCCTGGCAGCGTCGTCATCCGCGCCGGCGCGCTCCTCCTCCTCCTCCTGGCGTCCGCCGTCCTGCTGGCAGCAGCGTCGTCGCCATCGGAGGAGGCGGCGGTGGACTATGGCGCGGCGCTGTCCAAGAGCCTGCTCTACTTCGAGGCGCAGCGGTCGGGCGGCTGCCGCACAACCAGCGCGTGCCGTGGCGTGGCCACTCGGGCCTCACCGACGGCCTGCAGCAAGGTGGACCTCGTCGGCGGCTACTACGACGCCGGGGACCACGTCAAGTTCGGCCTGCCCATGGCCTTCACCGTCACCATGCTCGCCTGGGGCGCCATCGACTTCGCCGATGACGTCGCGGCCGCCGGCGAGAGTGGGGCCACACGCTCGAGGCCATCAAGGGGGCACCGACTACTTCGTCAAGGCGCACACCGAGCCGTTCGTCTACTGGGCAGAGGTACAGTCTTTCTTGGACATCTTCCTCCTTGTTCTACCTGCTGCTGCTGCTACGTAGGCGCCTCAGGCGTGCGTGCCGTCACCGGGGAAGTACTTTCTTGCCACTTCCACGCACCACCCATGGAATTGGGATGGATCGATCGGCCGAGGCCCAAGGCATCAGACATCATGCAGTCATTTGACTCAATGAAGGCTGCTGAAATTTACTGCTGCCTGGTGTCTGCTGGGACGCGATCGATCCATGGATCCGTCATCCATGCCTCTACGAGTGAATGAGTGACGACGGCCAGGGCCAGGTGGTCATTAATACCGTGTATGGAATACTCACTCGCTCGCGCGTGGTTGACAGGTGGGGGACGGCGACACGGACCACTACTGCTGGCAGCGGCCGGAGGACATGACGACGACGCGCGCAGGCGTACCGCATCGACAAGGACAACCTGGCTCCGACCTCGCCGGAGAGACCGCCGCCGCACTCGCCGCGGCCTCCATCGTCTTCCGCCGCTCCAACCCGCATTACTCCCGCCTCCTCCTGCACCACGCCCAGCAGCTGTTCGAGTTCGGCGACCGGTACCGCGGCACGTACGACAGCAGCATCGCGGAGGTGCGCAGCTACTACGCGTCCGTGAGCGGCTACCAGGACGAGCTGCTGTGGGCGGCGCTGTGGCTGCACACGCGCCACGGGCCGCGACGACTACCTCCGCTACGCCGTCGACAAGGCCGACTCCTTCGGCGGGGTCGGCTGGGCCATGACCGAGTTCAGCTGGGACGTCAAGTACGCCGGCGTCCAGGTCCTCGCAGCCAAGGTACGGTACTCCTCCTGCTCTTTCGTCTTTCTTGATTGATCACCATCCAGCTGGGTTTTTGAAATCGTTGGTTTGTTGCATCATCATCATCATCTTCCGTGAACGCAACGCGCGTTTTCCTCAGTAGTAGGAACAGTACCTTTTAATTATTACTGATGAGGGGGAAAAAAACTACTACTAGTACACGGTGGCCTGACGGTAGAATTTCGTCATTGCGTGCCGATTGGGTCTGTTTCCCCGCTCGCTTTTGACGCGGTTCGATCAAAAGCTGGAGCGCGAACCGCGAAAGGCGCAGGCAAAGGATCAGACGCAGGGTCCTCACCCACGTCAACCTCTCTTCGCTTTTCCAATGCGTACCCTCAAAAGACTAGAGAATTCCCCTCCGAGTTTTCAATATAAAAAACGTCTTCTCAGTTTCGTGTCGACCCAAACCCAACCCTCGGAGCAAGCCTACCTTGCTTCAAGACCTGTACAAAAGCAGAGCACAGATCCCCTTCATGCAAATTGCTTCCATCGCTGATCACTCCACGGACATCCAGCTGCTGTGGCCTGGTCCAACTACGTTGGGTGCTGGTGGGTGAGCCGTGCAACCAAGCGCCTATGCTCCCAGTACGTACGTAGCCGTGCGATCCACCACGGATCACTCCACACAGCATCTAGATTAACCTGCTACTAGATGATTTCACATGAGGATCCAAGCACCTTTTGTACGTACCAGTACAGTGCCGCTGCTGCTCTGCTGCGCCCGCATCGCACCGCGCGCACATCAGTTTGGAGGGCGCTGGACGGCTCATGGCTGGCTGTGCTGGGTTCGTTTGTGGTTGGCAATGGAAGTTAATGCCGCCACATGGCGTTATACTTTGCTGTCCCCCAAAAGAAACCCCCCGTACCCGATAGGTAGGATCCACCGGTTTACGAGCTACTAGAGCTACCCAAAAATCAGAGAAGAAACCATGCAAGGCGCCCGTCCACGGAACTGCTGGGGGCTGATGGCGACATGGGGAGGAAAATGATGCATGGCTCCAAAAACGGAACATCTCCGGTGCGTGGTCGATGCTTGCTACGGACCAAGCCCACTTCTCAACCATCGGCTGACCTACCTCCCTGTTGCAATGATGCTGTCCTGGACTGGACTGGACTGGACTTGATCCTGGCTCCTGAATAGCAGTAGCCAGTAGCTGATCCGCCCGGCCGGCCACATGGCTGGGCATCTGATCAGGGGGTGAGAACCTTTCGCGCTGAAAGCTGCGGTCGTGTGCTAATTCGGCCTAGGCCGTGTTTAGATCACCTTCAAATTTCAAGTTTTTTCACTCTCTCTCCATCATATCAATTTTTGACGCATGCATGGATTATTAAATATAGGTAAAAAAAAACTAATTACACAGTTTGGTTGTAAAACACGAGATGGATCTTTTGAGCCTAGTTAGCCCATGATCGGATAAAGTTTGTCAAATACAAACAAAACGTGCTACAGTATTCAGGTTACAAAAATTTGCAATCTAAACAAGCCCTAGCCATTTTCAATTCTGTCCGCATCAGGGTAAGCTGACTCATCACACTGGCTGGCTGGCTGGCTAGCCACAGAGTCCCAAAATCACTTACTACCAGTACGTGCTACCCATCAACAGCTTGCAGTTTAACCTGCTGGTAGAGGAGTGAAGAATTCGACCTGCCAGCTCTCTAAGACATGGCACGATCACTTTTGACAAAAGTCCAGTAAAGGCACTACTTCGTCAAAGAACGAATCATCTCTTTGTACACAAAAACTATTTAGATTGTGAGGTTACAACTAAAGAGCAGTTGCTCGCCTGCCTTAGCAACCCGGCCCCAACTGGGGAATCTCACCTCTTTTTTCCTTCATGCAAGCACATGACATGTCATGTGCCCCAGGCATGCATCCTACGAGTTCCAGGTGATGCAGATCACACGCGGCCCTTTTTTGGTCGCGTGATGTATAATACCTACACTATCTGGACATAGTAATGGACCACAAATACGGATGCTTCCTCCTGAGCTTTGAGCAATGCCATCGGTAGGAACTAGGAACAGCTCGTTCAACTGCTACTGACGATTGTGACAGCATTCATATGTTTTTTTGCCGAAAAATCTCAACATTCCAAACATGGTGGATATCACTACTAGCTCTGTGTTAGATAGATACTACTGCTAAGGCCACCTATACCATTCTACCAATGGAACAGCATAGGGTGTGTGAGAATAACCTGCACGCAGGGCTGTAGGGCATCATAGACAAGTCGATCTAGGAGTATAGCGCTTCTACCTGCCACCTGCCGAGTGCCCACGCCATGGCAGCTACAAATTCTTGTGGGCGAGGTGAGCAGAGCACCATGGCGCCATGCCGGCATGCCCCAAGAGGCACCGGACAGACGCGGTCACTCACTGACAAGTAACACCTCAGAACCTCTCACCAGTTGTAAAGCACTAGCTATAGCCGCTCTGCTCAGCTAGTCAGCTGTGGTGGGCGACGGCCGGCGCCGGCTCCGCAGGCACGTGGCCGCGCGCGGTCGACGTGGACGTGTACATATCCGCCGCGCTAGCCGCCGGCCTATAGCCGGCGCCGGATGACCGAGCCACCGAGGTCACGCGTCTTTCTCCTTGCCTTTGGAAGAAAGGCCAGGATCGGAGGTCACTGTGTCTGAGCTGCCTGTACGTGTTCCAGACTGTTTTGCTCCAGAGTTCGGACAAAAGAACGCGAGAAATTTGGAACCCCGCGTACGATATGCTTTGTTTCCTTCCGTGGAGGGAGAGAGCTACCGGCCGGGTGTCTGCCGGTCGAGGCCAAAATGGACCGCCGGAGACACTCCTGGGATCATGGCGGCAAAAATGGCACGGCCTGCTCCTGCCCTACCTGTGCCTGCCTGCCTGCGCACGTACGTACGTACGTACGTACACTGGCCGGGGGTGGGTGAGGGTGAGTACCGATCCAGCAGACATCCTCCTCTCACGGTCTCACCCACCAAGCTACTGAGATACGGATCGAAAGCTGACGAAACTGAAGGAGCCGTGCGTGGCGTGGACGGTCTCGCCCGTCTGGTTTCTTGGCGTGCCTTCCCATTTGCCATTTGCGTTAAAGTTCTCGTGTTCTTCGATCTCCCACTGTACATCAGTGCATGTACATGTACGTGACACGCACGCATGCAGACGGACTTGGCCCAACGTGCACGAGAAATGACGTTTCCTAGCTCTGCGTGCGCGGGCCCGGCCGAGAACGATCGACATGACGTACGTGCCGTGCCCGTGCGCCGTGCAGTCCCGGGCAATTGCGCAGGCACGGTGTAGTAGGCGTAGGTCGATCGCTGTACTGTATGCCGACATGCCGACACGGACGGGGTCTCCGCCGAATTCCACACGTCGCGCGCGACGGATGCATGTCCGGCTTGACGGGCCGGTGACCTGGCCATCACCTTTTCGATGAATTCCACACGTCACTGTTTTTCCGGGCAGTCACTGTACATATGCACAGCCTGGTCTCCACGGAACTGCATGTGGTGCACGAAGCACGCAGTCCGGCTGGTGCCTCTTGCTTGGTTGTACTGCTTGGTATAGTTACCACGAATTTTCAATGATATATATATTTTATATGCCGGCCGGCGGTATCCAAAATCCCTGTATATATGTAGGACAAGACGTTTAAAAATGAATGCCGGTTTCTGGAATGCATCATTCATCGCCAACTTGTGTTCTAGATATTGACATTTCAAAGAAAAATCCCTGCAAAGAACAGATGTTGACATTTAGTTTGTACTTGACCGAACAATATGCTAAAATATATAAAAATTTCGTTGTTTTCCTATATATATTTCTGTGAAACGTACTGGGCGCTCATGAAGAACCATTCCTCGCACAGTTGAATGCCAAACAAATCAAAAGCGCGTGAGAAATATCCTAAGACAAACCAATTTGACTGAATAATATATTTATAATATCAAATAAGTAGTAAGCACATTATGAGAAAATATATTTTATGGTTTATCTAATGATACTACTAGTTTGATGTCATAAATATTTATGAACTCGCTCAAACTTATAGAAAAGCTTGACGTCATGTTTTTTTTTAAGTTTGATTTATTTGAGGATGAAGTGAGGACTATGTACTAGGTGTGTTGGTTATACAGGTTATACAATAACGTAGTGTACCACAAGCAACCAAACAGTAGTAGCATTCATTTACAAGCAATTAGGAATGCCTGCTAGGCGAGGAATGTCCATGCAAACGTCGCAATCAAAGTGGTTGTTGGGGGCTAATAATATTCTTTAGCGTAGGTTTTTCTTGCCGTGTCAACTCCCGCACGCATACAAATTGGTGATGTCCAGAAGAAAACGAAACAAAGAGCCTGTTCTCGCGGGTTGGTTTCTGGGTGATAAGTCGATTTGCCACTTTGGTTTGTTGTGAGAGAAAAATACTATACTATAATTGATAAACCCTAGCTAAAACCAACGAGCGCTGAAAATATCCAATTTCTGAAGTGAACGTCCATGGCATACAGCTAGTAACCACCTCGCTTAGGATGATCTCTCTCTCTCTCACCTTTATTTTCGCGCGTTCAACTGGTAGTGACGTCCACAAGTGAATTGAGTAGTGCTGGCTTGTCTTTTGGATTTCTTTGATCTCGTGCATTTGCAACGCGGTCCAGAGGCGCCAGCTTGGGAAAGAAAAAGTCAGATTTGTTTGTCATATCACGATGTCGTGTGCACAAGCATTACTTATGGCAAGAAGCTTCTGTCACACATTTTTGGGAAAATGACGCCAGAATTTTATTAGAAAAAACGATTTAATTGGGGTGAAAAAACAGACGTAGAATATAATATTCGTTAACAAGAATAAAAAATGGAATATGTCGCATTTAGTATTCCAGGCTGGCATTCATTTCGGACCAATAGTTGGCGGGAATGGGATCGCGAGCTTTAAATCGGCGCAGCGACGTGGCCGGTGCTGCCTGCGCCAGTACGGCAGCAGTCCCACACGGCCAGCAGTGACGAGTGTGGGGGCATTCTGTAGATCGCTTAGGTTAGTGCAAGACATCTTGTCGTGAACCATGGGCGATGTTCATATTTTTTTGAAATAGATTTTTTTCTTACTCATGAAACACCTTTTCTCTATAGAACATCAGAGAAATACTTACATTTTTTTGCTGCAAATCGTAGGATGAATGTGAGTGCATGTAACATGAGGAAAATATTAATAGTTATGATAAATCTCGCTTGTCGAGAAATTAGTCAATCTTAACTTTGACTGAATCTATATAAAAATATTAATAGTGATTAATGATGAACTATATTTTCATAATGAACCACGGAGATATACTATTTTCGAGTATTTGACTCTTCAAGAAGTAGGATTCACGTCCTTTTGTTATGATGGAGTATTATTATTATAGATAGGAGAGAAAAAATGTACCGCCTAAATTGTCAGTACAAAACAAAACAAATTGTTTCAGTTGAGCTGGAAATTGTAGTTTCACGAGAAGAAAAAAAAACATTTCACTATTGGGCAAGAGAAAACATGTTGGAATCTCTAGCATTTTTGGCCCTGCGGCGGTGCGGCCCCACGAGCGAGGATAGGACATGGGAGTCAGAGTCAAGAGATAGCATTTCGCCGGAAAGCGACGCCGGCCGTGGTGACTCCACCGTGCACGTGGCCCGTCGCCTCCGCCTTTTTCACCCACCGACAGCGGCCAGCCCTGCGCCGAATGAATGAAGATCGTCGTGGATCGATAGGTTCGCCTGTTCGATTGGAATTGTCGAGCTGGATCGCAATTTTGCAAGCAGTTCATTGATTGCTAGCTACTGCTGCTGATGTTTTTGTTCAAGCTTCAAGCATTGCACGATTCTTGTCCCGTTTTGATTCGTTTTTTAACACGATTGAGTGCCTACATCAGATGCGCTGTCGGTGTGGCTCCTGCGCTCTATCCCAGCCCAGTGATTTGCTATTCTTGTCCCTTGATACAGGGCGTGTTTAGTTGGCGAAAATTTTTGTTTTTGGCTACTGTAGCACTTTCGTTTGTATTTGGTAATTAGTGTCTAATTATGGACTAATTAGGTTCGAAAGTTTCGTCTCACGATTTCTCATCCAACTGTGCAATTAGTTTTTTTTCGTCTACATTTAGTACTTAATGCATGTGCCGCAAAATTCGATGTGACACTTTGGGTGAAAATTTTTGAAAACTAAACAGGGCCACAGTTCGCCGGCATGGGCAGCAGTGTCTTGCTGCCGCGTCCCACTGACAATGTGATGTATGCATGGTGCCGTGTATGTGTATCGCATTTGCCGGCTTGGATAGGTAGTTACATTTACCTAGCAGTAAGATTGAGCCGCCAGGTCAAAATAAGATCGAACCGCGTTTTGGTTGTCCGATCTACCTCCGTTCGTCATCTGGAACGACATGTATTTGAAGATTTCACATAAACTAGCAAATCAACTTTAGGAAATGCAACTTTTTTGTTTTGTCGGACGGCTAAAACCGTGTTTGACACCTTTGCTTTACTGCATCGTCATGTAACGAACAGCTGCTGCTGGAGGGCGATCCGGGAGCCCTGAAGCACGGCGCGGTGCTGGAGCAGTACAGGGCGAAGGCGGAGCACTACCTGTGCGCGTGCCTGGGCCGGAACGGCGGCAACGGCAGCGACAACGTGGAGCGGAGCCCCGGCGGGATGCTGTACGTGCGCCAGTGGAACAACCTCCAGTACGTCTCCAGCGCCGCCTTCCTCCTCACCGCCTACTCCCGCTACCTCTCCGACTCCGACCGCCTCCTCCGCTGCCCCACGGGAGGCGCCCCCGCCGCTCCGTCCGACCTGCTGGCGCTGGCGCGCTCCCAGGCGGACTACATCCTGGGCCGCAACCCGCTGCGGCTCAGCTACATGGTCGGTTACGGCCGCCGGTACCCTGTCCGCGTGCACCACCGCGGCGCCTCCATCGTCGCGCACAAGGCCAACAGCCGCTTCATCGGCTGCATGCAGGGCTTCGACGACTGGTTCGGCCGGGGCCGGCCCAACCCCAACGTGCTCGCCGGCGCCATCGTCGGCGGGCCCAACTGCAGGGACGAGTTCCAGGACGACCGCGGGAACTACATGCAGACCGAGGCATGCACCTACAACACCGCGCCCATGGTCGGTGTCTTCGCCAGGCTGCACCGCCTGGCGACGGAGGAAGGGGGCCGCCGGAGAGGGACGGCCGATGAGGCGGAGGTTAGATAATATAAAAATGGTGGCGGTGGTGTCGAAATTAAGGCGGCTTCAGGCGGGATAATTCTTTTTCTTTCTTTCTCGTAAGCTTATATTTTACTACTAGCTTCCATATAATTAATTTTTTGAAGTGTTAATATGAGAGAAAGATAAAGAAAAAGAGAGTTTTGGTTAGTGATGAAAGAAAGAACAGGAATCATAGTGGAGCAATAAGGACGAGAAAAAGGGTGTGCAAAGTTATCTGTATGTGTTTAATCTAGGTGTCTCAGAACTGAAAAGAACTGTAATATTTACTGGGAGAACAGTAAATACATAGTCACATAGACAAATTACATGCATCCTAGGAGTAGTACGTATATGTTTTCTTATTATATTGTTCATGGGCTCCAGGAGTTTCTGAATGCGGAGGAGATCCACTTTAAGTTGTTCCCTCCGAAGATTTTTTTTAAACAATTAAGTGCCATGTCATATGAGGAGACATAGAGAGCATCAGTTTACAAGATTTTATCTACCATAACTTGTCCACTGCTCGTTCACAAGGCAAGTTTGGTGGCTCTTGTTTTCAGATAAATCTCACCTCTTTTTCCTTCATGCATGCACATGACATGTCATGTGCCTCAGGCATGCGTTCTACGAGTTCCAAGTGACGCACATCATGCGCCCTTTTTTTTTGGTTGCTTGACTTGGTAACTATTCTTATGAATCAATAAAGTTTAGCTAAAAAATAATATCAACATTTGAATATTTGAAGGTACAAATACTGATACTATTTTTAAATTATAGTCAAACTTAAAAAAAAAAGTTTAGCACCTTGGTTATTTTGGAAAGAAAGCCTGAGAGTCATGGTACAGTGTTTTTCTCTCACAGCAAAACAACATCAGCCGGCTTATCGTAGAAACCATCAGCCGAACAGCTACGTGCTTGTACAACAAATAACGAACAAGAGAAAAAAGCGAACCAAAAGGTCATCATTTGTACGTCGCGGCTCCACGCACCAAATCTCCACTCCGTCCGGGCGCCTTTAAACCAGTGATGACAACGGTCTTCGCCACTTTGCAGTTCCTTGCCTTGCCCCCCCTCCCACACCATCCGGTCCTCGCTATAGCCGAACCACCGGCCTTGGGAGCTCTCCCTCCTTGTCCAACAGCTTCAAGCTCAGGAGCGGAATTAGTGTAAAATTTGAGTGGCGGACTTCTACTGATGGACCTCTACAGCTACCCGAAAGAAGCATGTTTGTTTTGAAACTAGAATTTGAGTGTCCTTGTGTATTAGGTCCGCCCATGTTCAAGCTACCAGATTTTCTCCATTCTCTCACATAGCTGATGCCAGGAAACTAGATTTTCTCCCCTCTCCCCCACAGCTTCCACGGTGGACGCTTGTGAGGACTGCGCCGCCAGGCTCCGCCAGTTGCGAAACTAGGACAAAATCCGAGTGGCGGCCTATTACTAATGGACCTCTACAACTACATGAAAGAAGACATATTTTTTTGAACACCAATAACTTAAGTGGGGGCACGTGCCCCCGCTTCTTGTGTACTAGGTCCGCCCCCTCCGTACGGGGTCAAGTAGCTGGCAGCCCGCTGTCGGTAAACGGTGGACCAATCGGCACTGGCCACCAGGGATGAGCTGGCGTGGTCGCCACGGTGAGCCGGACTGGATGCGTCGCCGCCTTCACAAAACCACGAGAAAGAAGGTCGAGGTCGTCTTCCCTGAGCCCGCCACCAGGACCGACAGCGGCGGCGGCGGGGAGGACGCCTAGCTAGGTATTATAATATACCTGGCCATAAGCCATTAGTAGATAGATCTTTACGCGGAATAAATCGTGCTTCAGCCAGAGTGTTCGTGTGGATTTCGCCAGTACCGTTTGGACGTCTGGCAGTTTTTACCGACGCGTGCGGTTAGTTCCATAATTATGTACTGATCTGCGCTAGGAGCTACGGTGCTGGAACACAAGGCAAAGGGAGAATCGCTGTTTTTTTTTAGAATTGTTTTTTTTTTCGTTTGAAGCAAGGAGAATTGCTGCTAAAGCCTAATAAAGGCCTGTAACGGTTCAGCTTCCACTGGGCTCTGTACACGGCCCAATAGGCCTAGCTGGAGTCTAATAGTTTTCTCGTGTGCAGAATACTAAGCCGGAGTCTAATAGTTTTCTCGTGTACACGGCTACTTGTAGAAAGAAAATATTAAGCCGGAGTCCCTGAACGACCCGATCTCCCTCAGTCCCTCGCGCGAAAAAAAAAAAAACAGAAGCTGAGCGTTACCATTGGTCCATTGCCGCATTGCCAGGCGCGAGGAAGAGGTAGTCCGGTTGTACGTAGGGGTTAGGTTCTCACCGGAGGGGAGGTCTGCCGGCGGCTAGACCTCGCCATATTGGTCTGGTAGACCTGCTACTGGAACAAACGTTTTTACGTTGCTATATGTGTATGAACGTGTCTCTTCCATTTCCTTCCTTTCACGTGTGCTGGACCTACGACAGATGGCAACACGATCTTCCTGTGTCTCCATCCACAGTAACCACCGCGGCTTAGTATTTCTTTCTTATCTCTATTTTTTTTCACTCTGCACTTAGAGCGATTCGTCAATGGTCATGATCACAGACATACCTGTATGCAATTCTCTCACTTTTTTCTTTTTTCTCTCTATCATTTGCATTTTATTTTCTCACTTCCCTTTTTTATCCTTTTTTCCTTTTTATATTAATCTCCCCGTTTTTCTTCAGTGAATAAATTTTTTTAGGTTGAGAAATTTGTCCGGAATGGATTACGTAGAAAATTATGCTTGATAAGTGTGTGTATTTTTTCAAAAACGCTGACAAGAAAAGCTGATGTGTATAAGTCATTTGTAAAGTTTATTTTGTATAAAAGGTTATGTTGAGAAATTATGATGAATAAGTTTGTCTAACGATAATTATAAACAAAAGTTAGGTTTTAAATGTTATGTAGAAAAGTTATCATAATAAGGTGTCTTATAAACTAATGTGAAAATTCCGAAAAGGTTTGTCGGGGACCAATACTAGGGTATCCGAAGAGGAGGAGCTAATAACCATCAACATTGATTCATCCGAGCAGTCAAGAGCGCGACTACAGCTCCAACCGATCCTCAGGTGCGCAAGCTCCGCCTCGCCCGACACCGAGGCCACGGGCTCCGCCTCGCCCGACCTCTGAGGGTGGGCTCCGCCTTGCTCGCCCTCTAGGGGCGGGTTCTGCCTCGCCCGACACCGAGGCCGCGGGCTCCGCCTCGCCCGACCTCTGAGGGCTGGCTCCGCCTCGCCCGACCTCTGGGGCGGGCTCCGTCTCGCTCGACCCTTGGGTTTGCGCTCCGCCTCGCCCGACCTCTGAGGGCGGACTCCGCCTCGCTCGACAACGAGGCCGCGGGCTCCACCTCGCCCGACCTCTGAGGGCTGACTCAGCCCCGTCCGGCCTCAGGGGGCGGGCTCCACCTCGCCCGGCCTCTGGGGGGACTCCGCCTCGATCGACCCTGAGGCCGGGGGATCTGTGTCGCCCCGACGGAGACCCATACCGCCACCAACCACTTTAGGTCTATGCGAATAGGCCTGTGTCAAAGCTCTGACACTAGGGAGGTGACCGCCATGCCCCAATATAACCCGTGGCCGTGATGGGCCATACCTAGGGATTCACATCAGGAACGGTGTCGGACGAGACGGTGCTGTTCTTCCTAACCCTCGTACGATGACTGACAGGCGCGTCAGTTCACCACAACGTCCTCCAGGACGGAGTGGAGTGCCATGACCGGGAGACAACGCCTGCGCATGGTGCCAGTGACAGACAGGGCCACTGAAAGCTCTAGTTTGATTTTGGTGAATTGATGAAACCCTAAGTGGTAACATAGTTTATCAAGTGATCATGAGATAGGTAGCACGTTCCAAGTGGTGAAGCAAATGAAGGTCATGACATGATGATGGCGATGCCATGGTGATGATCAAGTGCTTGGAATTGAAAAGAAGAAAGAGAAAAACAAAAGGCTCAAGGCAAAGGTATAAATGGTAGGAGCCATTTTATTTTGGTGATCGAGACACTTAGTGAGTGTGATCACATTTAGGATCGATAGCCGTACTATTAAGAGGGGTAAAACTCGTATTGTAATGCGGTTATCAAAGTGTCACTAGATGCTCTAACTCATTGCATATGCATTTAGGATCTAGTGGAGTGCTAACAACCTTAAAAATATTTTTGAAAATATGCTAACACATATGCACAAGGTGATACACTTGGTGGTTGGCACATTTGAGCAAGGGTAGGGAACTTCACCGGCGGGCGATCGACATTTGAAGAGAGGGGACACGTGGCACACATCGCGTGACCGGACGCTGAGGTCCAGCGTCCGGTCACCCCGCGTTGTGCCCAGTGAAGGGGTACAACGACTCTATTTCGTTGGGGCTTCTATTTAAGCCCCATGGCCGGCTCAAGCTCACCCTCTTAGCCATTTGCATTAACATAACAACCTTGTGAGCTTAGCCAAAGCCCTCCCACTCATCTCCATCATTGATTCATCATCTTTGTGAGATTGGGAAAGTATCCAAGTGCATTGCTTTAGTGTTTGCATCTAGAGGCACTTGGTGTTCGTGTTTTGCTACGGGATTTGCTTGTTACTCTTGGTGGTTGTCGCCACCTAGATGGCTTGGAGCAGCGAGGATCGTTGAGCGGAGGGTGGTGATTGTCTCCGGCTCCGATCGTGGTGATTGTGAGGGGTTCTTGACCTTTCCCCGGCGGAGAGCCAAAATGTACTCTAGTGGATTGCTCGTGGCTTATGTGATCCTCATGTTGTGTTGGTTGTGCGGCACCCTATTGATGGTTTGGCGTGTGATGCCAATTAGCGCATGAACCTCCAAGTGAGTGAATCACCACAACGAGGAGTAGCTTGCCGGCAAGCAAGTAAACCTCGGTAAAAAAAATCATTGTGTTCACCATTTGATTCCGAGGTGATTGGTCTTCATTGATATTGATTCTTGTGATTGATTGGTTCACTCTTCGACACGGCGGTATAACTACCTTGCTC